TTAAAAATGGTTTTTAGCATTAATAAATAGACATCGGTTTTCTGGAGAATTGTTTTGCTGATAGATATGGAAGTAACGGTTTCGATTGGAAATTGCAGCAGCGCAATGTGAGGAAAACCATTGAGAAGAATGAGGCTTGACCTGCAATCATCGAGAGGGAATAAAAGATTCCATGCCAGCCTGAATCCACAAAGTTATGTAAGAAGCACATTTGTCAACAGGAAGGCGAAAGATTTCTACCCAAGGGCCATCATGAAGAAAATCACGGAAAGAGTCCCAGTCAGCTTCAAGGTAGTTGTAAGAAGTACAATGATTAGGGGGATTCAGATGATGAAGAAGAATGAGATAATAGTTTTAGAGAGATCAAAATGTGATCAGAAGCAACTAAGAGTGAATGTGGAGAAACTGAACACTGACTAGGATCAGAAACATGACATAAGTCGAATAGAAAAGGTTTGTCTGGATAGTGAATTGGAAAGTTAAATATTTTAGTTAGGGATTGAGAAAGGCAAAAGTTGTGGGCTTTAATGCCCTCATAGTCACTGACTCTAGAGCCAAGCCATTCAGTATGATGAGCATTAAAGTTACCAACAACAACAATATTAGCTGATGGATAAAGAGAGAGGGCCTGGTCAATTTGATCAGAAATAACATCAGAAAGAGTGAAGTTATGAGATGAAGGAGTGCAATATAGAACAAAACGAAAGCACATAAAAGAATAGTCTGTGGATTCAAACCTAGTTTCCCAACAAATGGGTAAATTCTTACGAATGAATATGCCCAAGCCAAGCATGTGACTATTGCAGTCTTTACGAATTAAAGGAAGATAACCATAAACACTAAGATCACAAGATGAGACAGCTGAACTCAAATTAGTCTCACAAAGAGCAGTAGGTCTGGTGAACTTTGCAAGAGATAAAACTCAACAGAAGAAAGGTTACTTCAAAGACCACTATTATTAGTGAATAATAGGTTTAGAGAACTTGGTGATGAAATTTTTTTTTTTTTTTATAAATTTTGGTACTTTATTCATTTTTAAATTTGTTGAAGAATTTGACTTAAAGCATAGATAGTACTTAGTACACTGTTTAATACGCCAAGCAATTGCCTCATTACTATTAATAAACCCTAAATTGTAACAAAGGCTCCAATTGTGGCTTTGACAAAGCACACCAAAAGTACAAACAGGGACACCATCCATGCTCAAGATGGTACTGTTAATACTTTGATATTTTTCAGCTCTTGATGGAATCAGCCTCTCTGAGAGCTACCACAGAGTTCAGGAAACCTGACTACCAGCTAGCCTTAGAATATAAAACTGAGTTTTAGAGTTGTACCCTCATTAGGAGATAATAGAATGAGTTGCCTAGTCATGAAAACAGAGGCACAAACAAAACCCATGGAAGATCCTGCATTCAACATCCTAAACTGGAAACAATGTATTATAAATACATCTGCGCTAGCCTAATTGATGAGGAAGGGATGCGAGGCTGGTCAATAAATAGAATCTGTCTTTGCCTAGAAGGCCTTCTTCAAGGCTGTAGCTCGATGCATTTAACATCTGCCCAAAATGAGTATTTTTATCAAGACACCATCTCTAGCCTTTACCCAACCAAGAGCCCTAAGGCAGGGAGTGTTTTAATTCGGAGTTGGCTTCTCCTAGCCTTTGCCTAAAAAACTGTATCCTACAAGACAACAAGATAGGAATTATATTGTACTAAGTTACATGTTACCAGTAGCAGGATAACCTGAACTGACAACAGTTTTAGATTTTAGTGTTTTAGTTTTTTTATGATGATGAATAGTGTTTTTATTGTTAATTTTGTATATGTAGGGTTGTGATACATTGAATCATTTTGCTGGAAATACCATTCTCTTGATCAATCAATATTTTAAGTTTATTTAGAAAGGTAGAGTAAAGCGTTTTCAGAAATATTGCTTTAAATAAAGTATGATAGTTTTATTCCGAAAAATCAAAACTACTCTATGACTTTTTGAACAAACAGCTGTTTTTTTGTACCTGTGTGTATGTTTTAGGGGTTTTAGTTTTTTTATGATAATGAATCATCATCACTATACCAAATAATCATCACTATAATTATTGTATAAACATCATCACTATATCAAATAATCATCACTAATTATTGTATTAACAAATCATCTGTATCATTAATTAATCATCACTGTAACAAATAATTATCACTATAATTATTGTATTAAAAAATAATAAACAAAAATGACTGTTATTTTTACATATTTATTTTATTTAATTTAATAATGTTCAACTGTAATTTGGAAATTGATATTAGAATTTAAACTTATGGGACTTTAAGTTTTTGCGCATTAGTTTGGGTGCCCATACCACTCAAATGGTATGGGATAGCGTCTGGGTGCGGCACTCGTCATGGAACATCCTGCATTTTTTTAATCAGGTACATATTTAATCAGTTATTGTTATTCATTATTGTCAACAGACCAAGTTTTCTGTGGGTTAAAGCAATGTAAAGTAGCTTTGTTGCAGCCGTTTATGGCATCCTGTGTAATCACAAGAATGGAAACTACGTGGAGTTGATTTGGATTTACAGTGTGGTTTACTGTGCAAAAATTGAATTCCTGATTTTTTCTTTTTGAGTAGTTTTTCACTAATTTTTGTCGATTCAATTATGCAGGTATTGTTTCTTATCAGGCTGGAAAAAATGAAACCATGAAGTTTTTCTTGTTGTATCTCAGAAAATTTTTATCTTTTTGTATAACAGTTGTCGAGAATGTGGTTGTTGACGAAGTGGTTGAAGTGGTTGATGAAGTGGTTAAAGTGGTTTCTAATAAATAAGATAAATTTTTAATAAATAAGATGCAGTTGAAGTGGTTTCTAATAAAAATGTGTTGTATCTCAAGGAAAACAAATTTTCTTTATCTTTGGTTGTAAAATTAAAGTTGGTTTTCTATAGGTTTTAGAAATATTTAGAAAGTACAATATTTAATCAGTTATTGTTATTCATTATTTAGCTTTTGAAATATATGTATATATGCGAATAAGGAACAAATAAAAAATTAAAGTTGAGCAATACTTATAAGATATATGCTATTATAATTTATCATAATAGCATATATCTTGTGATTGTGATATGCTGATTGTGGCTGATAATAGGTTTAATGTATTTATTTAAGGGTATTATAAAAATATTAAGGATTTAAATTACGTATTTAATATTTGCCTATTCATCAGAAGTGATTCGACCTTCTAGCCTATGCTATTGGTAATAAGCAACCAATTATTCAGCTTAACCATTGGCCAATGGCATCGGTTGATTAATTGGCATTATTCAATACATTCGAATAGGTTAATAAGCCAAATCAAACTAGTGCATGGGCACACCTTTTATTTGCATACTGCATACCTAATATTAAGATATTACTTTATATACATGCATACAACCCATTAGCCTCAATCGGCCTTTGCCAATGACATATCACTATTATAAACACATATAATAAGTTATATACACAGATATAACATGTTATAAACACATATAATATGTCATATACTATGTAATATAATATGTTATAGACATATATTATATGTGCGTACATAACATATTATATCTGTTTATAACATGTTATATAATAATAAGTTATAAACACATATAATATGTTATATACACAGATGTAACATGTTATAAACAATTATAATATGTTATGTACGCACATGATCATGTTATAAACACATATAATATGTAGTGATTTCGCCGGTTATCCGGTTTTGCGGTTAACCAGATTTTGTTCGAATATCAAATATCTATTTTCGAGTAATAAAAACCAAATTAAAAATGTTACGAAAATTTATAGAAAGTAACATCGTAATTATGCAATTATTGTTTGACAAATGTTAATTTATCAAAGATTATAATATATTTCTTTTATTAATTTAAATGTTAATTTAATCAGTTTTGTTTGATAATATATTCCTAAAACACTTTACAATAGAAATCTTAAAGATTTATTTATTACTTTTACAACTCAAGCAATACATTTTTAAGAAAGTTTCTTCAGAATATTCTGGAACTCTAATTCGCTTATTCAGCGTATTTTTAGAACCAATAGAATTTGTTTATTTGTAGATTTGGCGGTATTTTAGTGTTAGCAAATATTCTTTATATTATCTTTATGCAACAAGTTGTTTGAGAACATTCAAGTTTATCTAAGTTTTAAAAGACATCATTAAAGAGTTTGAAATATAATTAAAACTTCTATTATGGATATATATATATATATATATATATATATATTTATATACTTGACAACGAGGGTATCAATAATCCCTTGAAATATTGTATAAAAATTAATAAAGAGTTACATCCATAATAGAAGTTTTAATTTAATCAAGTTTATCTATGTTTCCATCCATGTCCGCATAACAATACACGCTAAAAAAATTTACTTCATAACATCTCATTTTTCCAAATCAAATGTTTTTATATATGAAATAATGATTTTAAAATATTCGCTGATATTAAAACATTTAAACTATAGTTGTACATTATTTCTACCTTTTTTAATTAAATAATTAAAAAGGTATATTATATTATAATATAAAAAAAATATATATCTTTTTCCATGTTTTGTTATAAATATATAATATAGGACTGTATTCACTAACTGTCTTGAAAATGTACACTTTAACATTAATTTTTAAAAAGTTAGTTTAAAATGCTACGTTCGTTGAAATTTAGAAGATCCTGTATTCAGAAAACGTCATTAATTAACCGAATAGTTGGTTAACCGCAAATTGATGAGAACTGTTATCCGGTTTTTGAAACGGATAACCGGCGAAATCACTAATAATATGTTATGTACGCACATATAGCATGTTATAAACACATATAGTATGTTATGCACATCTAATATTGATTTTTTTTTTTTTTTTTTTTTTTTTTTTTTTTTGCTTGTAGTTTTTTTTAAAGTAAGCATTGATCAAAAAAAAATTGTTTTGGTATTTTTAG